GACAGAATTACATTTCAGCACAGCCTTTCACCCTCAAACAGATGGCCAATCCGAGAGAGTGATACAGGTTTTGGAAGACATGTTACGGGCTTGCGCATTGGACTTCAAAGGGAGTTGGATCGATCACTTACCGTTGGTGGAATTTGCGTACAATAACAGTTACCAAGCGAGTATCGGAATGGCGCCGTATGAAGCTTTGTATGGAAGACCATGTAGATCCCCGACATGTTGGTTGGAAGCCGGAGAGAGTAGTATGTTTGGGCCCGAGATTGTACGGGAGACAACGGAGAAGATTCAGCTCATTCGGGAGAGATTACGCACAGCACAGAGTCGACAAAAGAGCTATGCGGATAGGAGAAGAAGGCCTTTGGAATTCAAGGAGGGAGATTTTGTATTTCTTAAAGTGTCACCCAAGAAGGGCGTACTTAGATTCGGTAAGAAAGGAAAACTCGCTCCAAGGTACATCGGTCCATTTGAAGTGATCAAGACAGTGGGCAAAGTAGCATACCAACTTCGGCTACCAGTATCATTGTCAGGAGTTCATGACGTGTTCCACGTTTCGATGTTGAGGAAATGTCAACCAGATACGTCGCATGTCGTGGATTTGGAGGATATTGAAGTGCAAGATGGAGTCACCTATGAAGAGCAGCCGGTGAAGATTCTTGATATCCAGGAGAAAGTGCTTCGCAACAAGGTAATCCAGCTGGTGAAAGTCCTGTGGCAACATCATGGCGTAGAGGAAGCAACTTGGGAACCGGAGTGGGAGATGCGAGAGAAATATCCATATTTGTTCGCTACTTGAGGTAAGTTTCGAGGACGAAACTTTCTTTAAGGGGGGTGGATTGTAAGACCCTGTACTAAAATTAAATAAGAATACTAATATCTTAAGATTTTTCCAAATATGAATAAAATGAGGATAAAAACTTAGAATCATTGTTGAAATATTAATCATGAAGTTTGAGTTTCGAACGGATTGACTTTTGGGTCAAACTTAATTTTTTTTTTTGGATGTGTTTAAGATTGATAAGGGTAACTAAATAAAATATTAATTTTTTTTTATTTTATCAAAATAACATTACCATTGAATTCGGGAGGTCGGAAAACATTGGGAGAGGTAATATGGGATGTATTAGAAGTTAGGAAGTATTTTAGAAGTAAAACCAAATTGGAGTGAAATTGGGTAAAAAGGGGTGATAGACACTGCTTAGTATTTTGATCATAACTTTATATTTTGATGTCCAATTGATCTAAAATTTTTACAGGAAATAGTAGACATCTAGGGCTACAAAAGTGTATTTCATGAAAAATTTCCAATTCAACCTGGAAGTCGCACCAAAAATCTGTGAACAGTACGAAGGAAACCCGATTTTTCTGAACAGAAAATATCGGGTTTTGCTCGATTTTCTTGCCCTATAAAAACCTAATGTCGTCCCCTTAGCATTCATTTCACCCCTCCAAACCCTAGGAACCATTTTAGAGGAAGAGAGGAAGATAGAAATACCAATCAAGAGGGATTTATACCTTGTAGAAATCAAAACTTCAAATTCTTCAAGAATACATTCTCCTCCCATTTTCTTCCATTCTTGCTACCCTCTCACCCAAATCTTTTGAAACCCTAGGAGGAGAAGATTAAGAGGAAAAGAAAGGAGAGCAAGAAGGTCTTGAAGCTTGGGTCTTAGCTTGGAATCTTGATTTAAGGTAGGGGATTTTCTCTCAATCTCTCACATTGAGGCTAGATATATATCCATAGATATATATATGTATATAGATATATGTTTCTTCACTCTCCTTCTCATATATATAATATGAAATACATGATTCTTGTTCTATTTGTAATAAATGACATGTTTTGAACAATATGAAGGGTGGGTAACCACCAAAGCTCTTTGATTTTTTTTTTATCTTCAAAGCCCTAGTTTTCAAGAAAAGGGGATTTTCTCCTAATTTCTTCTTTGTCTTTGATTTTAAAACTTTAGTGTTGAATATTGTATAACAAAATGATATAGATTACGATCTCTTGCATATTTTCTTGGATTATTCGATTATATGACAAATGTGAAAACAAAATTGGGGATTTTACTATATTTGGGAAATTGTTGTGAATTGTGAATATTCTTGATTTCCTCATTGTATGGTTGTTGTGATGGACTTGGATTACCTTCGAGAGATGCCGTAGAGTGTTAGAGGTTAGTCTATCCCAATGGGGGGTGAGATGGTTGCCTAATGCTCGTAGTGATCGTTGTTGTGCTCGCGATCACTATTGTTCACATATACACCGAGGAAAAGGGTTAGTATACTAGACACCTTGGGAGGATTTCGTCAATGCCGTAGGAGACGGTACACGCCCTTCCTAAAGAGATTTGTGATTGTTGGTTGGAATTGGTGGACTAGGCATGATCGTTAGGTAGATTCACGAGAAGCAATCAACATACATGGTACGGGGATGAACCAAAAATACATGGAATCGGGAGTTGGGTCGTTCTTGCCGATGCATTGGTATGGGACAATGCTTAGGGAGAAACCCTTCTTAAATAGCTTAAATTAGAATTTTGTTTATCGATGCTAAACTCACTTTATTCTTTTAACTGATTATTGCTATTGTTTAAACTTGAGATCTCTTTTAAAATGTCACTGTTTTCATTCCAAACCTATATATATGTTAGTTGTGAAATGAGACCGACCGTTTGCTATGTTTTTCAAACCTTGTTTGAGTTGAGAGGATTTTGCTACAGAGCTTCGTGCTCACCCCCTACAAATAAATTTTTTTCAGATTTCACACTTGAGGAGGAGTTAGGAGCCGAGGAGCCCACCCATTGGAAGACTCCGCTTGACGGGGATGTGGATCCCGAGGTGGACGCTTAGAGCGACACTTTTATTTTGTTCTAGACTATATTATGCTTAGAATATCCTTTTGAACTCTAGTTCATTTCTGTTATTTCCGCTGCGTTATATTATTACATTTTGGAGATGTAAAGGCCAAGATTAGACCTATTAATTTGGGATGATAGTGTAGATATGACATATGATGAATGCAAGTTTATTTTATGATGGAAAAATGGACCCGGTGTGGTCAATAGTTATGCATATGTGGACCCGGTGTGGTCAATTGTAATATAATTGTACATGTTGTGTTTTGGGTGGAGCTCCCCGTACAAAGGAGACTCTGCCCAAATTTTGTTAAAATATGAATGGTTGATGAATGAAACTTTCGTCGTGATGAATTTTACTTAATGCTCTCATACGGTAAATGGTTTTTAGAATGTAATGTCACCCACGGGGGTTTTTGGAGCGTTACAAAACTTCTTCTTACATTAATACAAGTTCATGCTTGATTTCACTACCATGTTTCTCTACTTCCTGTTGGTTCTTGCTTTTACCATGCATAACTAAACTTTTAGTAGGCTAATCCAATAGAGATTTCCTCTTGGGTATATGATATCAAATTTCTTCTATTCTTCCTCACAGTATAAAGTGTTTGGTTTGACTAAATTGAGTGCGAAAGTGGTTTTGAACTTTTGATACACTATAGACTTGGCATAGGGGTATGCTCTTGCCCAACGCAACTACATTAGTCCCCCACTTCCTATAAATCAATTAAATACTGAGACACCATTGGTTGAATGAAATGAATCGATTTGAAATTCCCATTGAAATGACTTCTATGGATTAGTCAACTTTACTTTCTTGCATATTTCTTAAATCACAACTCACCAAACTTCAAATCCCAATATTTTTTAATTTTTATTTTTTCACAAATCACTCTTCAAACACCCGACCTGACATTCCCTGAGGAGACGATATTGGAATACTTATTTCAAGGAAAAGACAACATTGTAAGTCTCTCTATACTTGGGGGTACTCTTGCACACACACGTTTTTGTTCATCTATACACAATTTTTTTTACTTGCATTAAACACGAGGAAGAGTGACACTCACCGATTTCTGTAAGTCATATACACACAATCGCGTTTAAGGGTTGGAGGTTAGGGAAAACGATCAAATATTGAGCTTAAGCAGATTAGGTATTTTTTTCTACTTAATTTTACACGTTTAATATTATTTTTATAATTATTGTGATTTGTAGCTTATTTATTATTATTGTCTATTACATTATTGATACAAGTAGTGACTCATTGGCTTAGTTCATTTGACGGTTGATGTTCGGGCCGAATATTAAAATTATGACAAAAACAACAGGCTGCACAAGTAGCCCGGTTAGACCTAGGACCCGGACTGCTAGGCCATGCGGCCATGCCCAAGCACATGTGTAATGGGGACTCCCACCACCCACACGAGCGATTCTCGGTTGCATGAACACACTCCATCCGAGAGAGAGAGAGAGAGAGAGAGAGAGAGAGATCCGTCTTAAAATAAGGACCTGACCTCACTACACAGAGAAAGTGGAACGCTAGAGTGAGAGAATCGTGTGGGTTCATCTCTTCTTTTTGTTTTTTAGCTTTCGCTTTTCACAGTTAAATCTCATTCTCTTTCCTGTTCCCCGTCTTTAAAATGTCATTGTTTCCTTTGATTCATTTCAAATAAGCAGTAACCCACCCAGGCACCAATGCTTCTCTCCCTACCCATTCCTCCTATTGCCCTCTCGATTCCTTCTCTTTGAAGGAAAATCTTCAAAATAAGAAAGAAAACAGAGAATATGACATCCTATTTCTTGTCCTTGTAAGAGGACTCTGAGAGAAAACCTTGTTAATGTTCTGTTTTCAGACCCAAAACTGCTTGTCTCTCTGCCCCCCGTGTGACATTGTAGAAGTCATCAAAGGAGGACACATTTGGTTTCTGCAGCTCTTCTCCACTTAGTTTCTTTGTATTTCTTTGGGTTTTCTGTCACAATTAGTCTACAACACGTCAAGAGTTCTTCCGGTGATAATCTCAATGGGTTTCCAGATATGAACATTTTACCTCCCCATGCCTCTCAACTTTCTCTCTCCATGAACTATTTTGGGGGGGAGAGTTTATTGGGTCCGCGACTGTGATTGCTCCAATGGAGCAGCACAAAAAACCTCGGAGTTTTCATCCAGGCGAAGAAGGCAGGGGAACAAAGTGGACAGTTGATGGGACCGTTGGTGGTTTCAATAGTGAGACAGATGAGGTTGCTTTGGAACAAGTTGAGGATGATCAGGTAGGTGAGAGGAAAAATGGGCACACAAAGCTATGTGCCAGAGGCCATTGGAGACCTCAAGAAGATGCCAAGCTCAAAATGCTTGTATCTCAATATGGCCCTCAAAACTGGAACTTGATTGCTGAGAAACTTGAAGGAAGATCAGGTAAAGATAAATATCTGGGCAAAAAAGCCCAACGAAGTCATCCCCTTTTTCTGTATCTAATTACCCAGATACTAAAAAGTTTACTTTTCTCCTTGTTTGGCCGTTGAACTTCTGAAAGACCCCAAAAATATATTTTGTTCAGTTTCTATCATTCATGTTTAGATTCACCATTGGTGAAACAAGAAAGTATTTTCTTAGACTTGATGAGTAGGATTGTACCTTTTTAATTTTTTTTATTTTGATAAGTACCTATAAATTTTTTCTATGGTTAATTTTGTAGGGAAAAGTTGCAGATTGAGATGGTTTAACCAGTTAGATCCCAGGATTACTAGGAGGGCTTTTAGTGAGGAGGAAGAGGAAAGGCTCTTAACTGCACATAGAATGTATGGTAACAAATGGGCCATGATTGCTAGGCTCTTCCCTGGAAGGACAGATAATGCTGTCAAAAACCATTGGCATGTGATAATGGCAAGGAAACACAGGGAGCAAAGCAGTGTGTACGGGAGGAAGAAGCCCTCTTGTTCAACGGTCAACTTGAAGGGATATGTTTTGAAGACTCCCCAAAACTATGCATGCAGTGAATCAACCATTTCTAGCAACAATGTTGATGAATCTGGATCTGCATGCACTGAACTCTCTCTCACGCCTTCAACCAGAGTTCCTCCTGGTCCTGGTTCTATGTCCAGTTTTAGTCCTGTTCAGCAGGAACAACCATTTGGGTTACGGATGGGTATGGCCATTTTTCTTACTTTTTTCATTTTTCGGTTATCTGATATTTTTAGCATAATTTTTCTGTATTGTACAGAGAATGGAGTTAACTTCAAACTGGTGAGGTCATATTAAAATGGAGTTGTTAAAAATTTATCACAAGGTTTAACTTCAAACTTGGTAATGTTTTATTAAAATGGGGTTGGTTAAAGATTGATCACAATATTTTTTGAGCCATTCGAAATTGTTAGGAATAATTCAAAAATTTTAGGATTGATCTTAACTTTTCGCATCTTAAACTCTTTAACTTGAAAGCATTTAGTTGTAAATTGAATTTTTGGTATATTACCTTCTTCGTTACCATGGTTTTATCCATGGTTTTAAAACCTAGTCCGACTGTTAGCCCGACACAGGGACAGGATCAATGGATCACTGGTTCAACAATTGAGTCATTGTTTTAACCATTGAATTACTGGTCGGACGGGTAATATAATAAAAAAAATTTACCTTCTTCAGTACGTTACTTTTTTGGTTTATTTTTATGTCTGTGTAATTGGGTAAATTTTGTGTCTATTTTTGTTCTCTTTGTTTTTATTATGGTTTTAAAAATGTAAGTTGTTTATTGATATTTTTACCTTTGTGGTGCTTATGTATCTATATTGGGTTATAGGCTCGTCAGCAGAGGAAAGAGTGGGCAAAATGAGAAATGCAAGTCTCGGTCGTTTTTGCGGCAATGGGCATATAGCAACTGTGAGAGATCTGGATCAACCTGGTCATTCATATTCGAAATCAGAAGTTTCTGCAACCGAATCAGTAGCCAACAACAATACCAATCTCTTCATCTGTTGGGAAAATGAGAAGGGGAATGAGAACAAGAAGATGCACTTCATTGATTTCCTTGGAGTAGGTGCCACTTGAGAAATAGTAGATTCTGGGATTTCTGGTTAGAAAAAGAAGAAAATGAGAAGAATCATGATGTGTCTGGTTAGAAATTAATGCCTTTTCTCCAGTTTGAGTCTCTGATTTGCAGGAAAAAATTGGTTTCTGCAGAAGGAGGTCATTCTACAGTGGTGTACAGTTAGTTTAATAAAAGTCCAAAGGGTACAAGAGTAAAAAGGACAGCGGAGAGAGAGAGAGAGAGAGAGAGAGTAGCCTCTAGCGTATGAGACTAGTTAAGGCTAATGAGCAGTTATGGTTTCAACATAATTTCAAAGTCAATTTGTATTGGACATATCTATCTTTTAGTCTTGCTATTATCTGTGAAGTTGTGGGATTGCATAATCAGGTAAGAAGCTAAAAAAGTTCTCTTAAACTGACTAATCAATGAATCTGCCCATATTACGTTACTTTTTAAAAGCTGTCGTTGGTTTTAGGATGCTTTGTTGACCACGTTTACAGAAGTATGTATTTATTGTATTTACTTGTTATTTGTTGCCTCTTTATGTATGGCCAATTATGTAAAGTTGAATTTAGTGGGCCTGGCGATATGCCACCTATTGAGCTTTAAACGGGCTGGTCCATCGGTCCTAGCAGCGAACATGGACCGTGGCCTTTACCACGAAACTAATGGGCTACACAGGCCTGCCCATTAGACCAGTTGGCTGTTGGGCGACTCATTGAGTTGTATGCTTTCAGTTGCCCCTTATTGGTAGGAATGAGATTTGGAACAGAGACTTAAATTAACCAATGTAAACCTCACACAAATACAAATTTGAAATTAATTTGATGAGTTACATCTGAAACAAATTGCTAGGTTGATATTGAACACAAATAACTTGTTTAAGTGGTATTGTATGAAGGGAATAGGTAATTATTTCCTCAATGTTTTATTAATTATCCTATGGATATTTGTGAAACTAACGTTTTCTAATTTGGTTTTGCAAATATATGGATCAAATGCATTTTAGTGGTGGATGTCTATATTTGATTGATGACTGAGAGAAAATGAGCTCCTAGTTTAGCTGTTTTTGGTTCACAAATTACATTAAAATTAAGGGAAAATTTCATCTACACCTCCTCTAAATAGGTCTATCTTCAACGACATCCCCTACCTTTTATGAAATTTTATTGTACTTTCTACTAGTTTATATATCCTCTTCACCTAGACCCCTATCGTAACCAGTCGTTACTGACCATTAAAAAAGTGTTGATGTCATACCAAAATTTTTATTAAATGCCAATTTTACCCTTCTTATTTCCCATAAAACCCTTGTTTTACCCCTCCTCATCTCTCTCTCTCTCTCTCTCTCTCTCTCTCTCTCATACCTCAACAAACCAATCACTTAGATGCAAAAACGTGACGATGAACCCAAGTCACTGGTCCTAGCATGAATCGGTGAAGAATAATGTAAAAAATTCACATAAAAAATAAAAAAAAATCTAGTTCTATGAATCGGTGACACCGTAAAAATTAAAAAAAAAAAACAAATGAAACCTTACGTTTAAACATAATACAAGAAAGCAATTCAAAATAAATTTTTTCTAAAAAAAAATTTTAAAAAAATCGATGAAACCGTATGCTTGAACAAAATACAAGGAAAAAATTTAAAATAATTTTTAAAAAAAAACCGGTGACACCGTACACTTAAACATAATACAAGAAAAAAAATTTAAAATAATTTTTTTTTAAAATTTTTTTAAAAAAAATCGGTGACACCTTATGCTTAAACATAATACAATAAAAAAAATTAAAAAAAAAATTTTTTTAAAAAAATTGGTGACACCGTAAACTTAAACATAATGCATCAAAAAAATTCAAAATAATTTTTTTATATGTTAACTCTACAAGGAAGAGTATTTGTGTCATTTTCCTTGTTTGTACCATTAGTGAATTTATACTAGCAAATAATATCATATAGTAGGTGGTATTTATTAAAGTCATGTATAAGGGATAAATGTTACTATACAAACCGGTTCAGTATTGTAACCCGAAAAATAATACTGCACATAAAATGCCAACCAAACAAGCTAATAAGTGAGCCCTAGGTATTATTTACTCTATTTCACTTCCTAATACCTCATATATCCGGCAAACAAACATGCTCATACTTACGGAAAATAGGAATATGTATTTATATATAGTTTAATGAAAAAAATTGGTGAATATGTAAATTTTTATAAAATTCATGGGTAAAACGTGTGTTTCTGTTACGTTTGTTAGCCGACCAACATTGAAATGGGAGGTTAGTGAAATTTAAAAAAAAATAAAAAATGTCGTTGAAGATAGATCTATTTAGAGGGGGTGTAGATGAAATTTTTTCTCAAATCAAACAAACACGATATGAATCAAATATATCATGACTCGAAATGATATGGCTGAAAATGATATAATTTTAGATACGACTCAATTGGTAGAGGCCTGTTTGAATTAATGTAATTATTCTACAGCGGATGTTTTACATGATCAGTTAGCTCAAGTCTGCTTGCACAATATACTGTGGCAAACTATGTGGTCTCAAGAGTTCAATCTTAGAGGTGGTCTCTTTTGATCAGCCTAATAGAAGGCTTCAGCAGGTTACGCACCCCCAAAAAGTCAACAGCTCAGCCCAACATATTTACTCAATGCGTTCCAGTGAAAACTTATTAATGAGTGCATCTATTGAGTCACCATTACTGACTCGTAACCCACGTGTTAACAAATGCGACCACTGCTCCATTCATCTGTGTCCTGTAGATCTGCTTATCATGAATGATTAGTCTTGTCACTTCCTGATTCTTCGTCTATGATCGCTTTTCTCAAACTTGGATTTGACTACGGTATAAAAAAAAAAAAATTTGGTATCTATTTCTAAATTTAATTATTTTAATAGATATTTTAAAAAATTTTATTCATCATTTTATAACAAAAATATATATTATTTTTATAGGTAATTTAATATATTTATGAATATTTTTATTATTATTGTGGTAACTATATTTATCACTTTTTTTAATACAAAAAAAATTATCACTTTTATGAATAATTTATTATATTTATAAATATTTTTAATACTGTTGTTGTGATAATTATTTTATAAACTTTTTTGGAGCACCCCACAAATGTAATATAAATATCCACAAATGGTAGTCATTGAATAGATTGTTGCCAAAACTGGCGTCGTTGCAAAAAATGCTAAAGAGCATGAATTAACTATCCACCATCAAACTATAAAAGCATACTAAATATCACAAAATTTAAAACAAACTAATCACTATTTTTCATCTAATAAATCAAACATTCCAAAAGAAACATAAATAAATCCTTGGGGACATCCAAAATAAATTAATTATTCTCCAATAAATTAACTAAAGGAATATCCATAACATTATGTAATCATAAAACTTCAAAAACTATAAATTAAAGAATCCTTATCTAAGCTTCCACTTTCGGATCTAAATGATGATCCATCTCGACATCCCAATCTAGCTGTCCACTTGGCTCTATATTGTTGTCAACACCAACTCTGAAAAAATGTTATATGGTAGGGTGAACAAAAAAGTACAGTAGGAAAATCTTCTCAAATCCAAATAAGAGTTAAAAATCATGATAAATAGGTAAGTCTCATTTTCTAAAATAAAATAAATGAATTTAATGTAAAAAAATTGACATCTAATAACTATCTCGAGTTTATGATACAAAACATTAAAGGTTCATAGCAAGATAGAATCATTTACAAAACCACAACTCATAATATAATATCTAATGTTCGTAACTAGACTAGCATGAATCTATATACCGAGCCTATCTGATCCACACATCACAATCACAAATACAAACCATCCAATCAATCCCTGCATGAGCACAATACTTTAGGAAAGACATATACTAACACATTAGGATTGATAAATCCTTCCCAATTAGGTTAACTATTTATCAGTGTCGAACCTATGTGAACAAATAGTGGTTTGACCCTCGCAAAGAACCAACCCCTACGAGTGTTAGAAAACCATCAAACCCCCAAATTCAAATGTAATCCATGTTCATCATACCCGCACATACAAGAGATAACTCCATATTTTTCATAAAATCCGTATATCAAACAATTTGTAATTTAGCAATTCTCAAATAGACGAGTAATCAAATCAAAACATGCAAGAGATCGTTAAAAGAAATGTTCATCATCATAATATTCAATATTTTGGGTTTTTAATGAAGAACCTTTAATTTTTGATGTAAATTATGTGTTTATTCAAGAAAACAATATTTGTAATTGAATAAAAACTAAAACACGTGTTTATCTAACATATAGTTACCAATATTAATCAAAAGATATATAATTAACCCTAATTCCTCAAACCTTTCACATAAACACATGTGTATCAAGAATGAAATTTTATATATACTAGATAAAATTTTACACGTATTTTACACGTGAATCGTTTTAAGTTATAGTTTTTATTGTAATTTTTTTTCTAATTGTTTGAAATAATGATGTAAATACAAGAGCCTATAAATACTTACGAATCAAAAAATGTAGTAAACTTGCTACAATTTGTACAATTTATACTAGAATGTTTTTAGAAAGAATATTCATTTTTGTTTCCTTTTCTATTAAATCCAAAAGTTTTTAGTAATTATTTCCTTATAAAGCTATCTCATGAGATTTATAAATTTGACATGAAACTAATAATTTAGATGAATTATATATGTAATATCATTGTAATGACACAAGTACATATTATGATACACACACACACACATATATATCAATTAAACAAAAATGAACACTTATTGAATTGTAAAAAAATACATAGAGAAAAAGGGCTTTTTTATGGTGGCCATACAATCATACACAATTAAAAAAAAGTTAGGTTGTAGAAATGAAATAAATAAATAATTTAGTTGCGGTAAACAAATCAATTTAATCATGACCATTCATAGTATTAGTTATTATCCAACAAAAATAAACAAGTAAAAACAACCATATTCTAGTGTTACGTACAAGATGATGCATTGATACTAAAATTGTAAAGTAGAAGAAGATGAATATTGTCGTGAAAATTTTAAGTCTAGAATGCTACAAACAAAAAATAAACAAGTTAAGAAAACTTATCAATAGAGATGTGTAGTCACTGTACTTAAAAATATATTTTCGATCATCTGA